AAAACATTTCTCACCACCGACTCCAGACTTCGGCGAATGGATTCCCACAGTAGATGACGCCGTAGATAAAAATGCCACATCTTTTATGAACAAAACTCAAACTTACAAAAAACCATATATAAAAACCGATCTAATGAAACTTAAACAACGAATATTAACTTAATTAAGGTTATTTTTAAATTGATAAATCGTTTAATACAAATATAAATACTATAAATATAGAATTATATCAATTTTTGACATACGATATAAAACCTATTTACAGCAAAAAAAAAATAGACACCTACTTTTACACACTAAAACAATATTATAGCCTAACTGTTCCTATAAACCTTACTTCGCATATAAATAACATTTAATACATTAGATATACAATATTTTCACTTTACACTCTTACTATATTCTTTCCATTTCATTATTATTTGGTGTCATTAGAAGAATCCACTAAACCACTAAATCGAAAAAAATAAATGCAAACATAATGATTCCGGCTCCGCGCTTGCGCGGGGAGTATGCAACTAGTTAAAAGAATTACCAAGAAAAAGTGCAAATGGCAGCAAAATTTTCACAATACCGGCTGATAATAGGCTCAAGTCTAGTCATTTAAGACAAGACATATCATTTTGATTCTGTTTCAATAATTTTTGGTCACGATTTGTCTTTTCCCGAATAAGAATTTCAAGTTAAAATAGTCGTCCGTCCTCCCTTTAATTTTTCCACTAAAATCAAATCGTAGAATATTGTTCCCACCATTCTTATCATCTCCTTGGCGTCTTTCAATTTCCTTTTTTAATCTGTAATAACAAAATAATAATTATAATTATCTTCCAACATTGGCGTCTGTCTCTTTATTTCTTGAATCATTCATTCCCAAATCTGTGTTGTTGAGATTCAGATGTATCCTTCTCTTGATGATGAAGATTTCGTCTCTGATTTCTTTTGTTTCGATCAAAGGTTCCTCCTTTCTCTATCCCTTTTCGATTCAGCTTTTGATTTATCGGATTTGATTGTAACATTGCATCTTTTAAAAACATAGGCTTTTGATTTTTTTCTGATGTTCAATTCAATTTTTATGAGATGATGTTTAATTTCTTGATTATTATGAATGATAGAGTTCTCTGTTTTTTTTTTCTTTAACTTCAGCAGCAATGGAGCAGAAATCGATGATTACACACAGTTTGGTGTAAATTTGCAGCCTGATCAAGCTGATGATACTTTCCCTGATTTTGGATCATACGGTGTCAATCTGCAGAACGAACCAGAACAAGTTTTCAGCATTGGAGATTTGACTTCGTTTAGTGTGCAGGAAGATGAATTAGTTGTTAATTCTGGCTCATCTGGTGGAGCTGTTAAGCAAGAGCAAGAACTTGTAGTAGATGAGGAATGCTCTAGAAAGCGGTAAAGCTTTTTTAACAAAATTTTGTGTTGATCTCTCATAGTTTGATAAGAATCTGTTGTGGTGGGGGGTTGTTGATAGGGGAAGGAGTGGATCTTGTGTCAAGCCAGGAGGAACCAAAGCTTGTCGTGAGAGGTTGAGGAGGGAGAAGCTAAATGAGAAGTATGTATATGTTTAGAACTTATTAGTAGTATAATGTTTTGCAGTTAGTGTTGTCTAAAAATGTTGGCTGTGTGTGTTCTCAGGTTTATGGATTTGAGCTCGGTTTTGGAGCCTGGGAGGACTCCAAAGACAGATAAACCGGCTATAATCGATGATGCAATCCGTGTCTTGAATCAACTCAGAGATGAAGCTCATGAGCTTGAAGAAACTAATCAGAAGCTCTTAGAGGAGATCAAGACTCTCAAGGTTTGGTTCACTTTCTTGTAAACAAATAATATTTTTTTCTATGGAACGAGAGCTAAACTTTTTTGTTATAGGCGGAGAAAACAGAGCTGAGGGAGGAGAAGCTAGCGTTGAAGGCTGAGAAGGAGAAGACGGAGCAGCAGTTGAAGTCTATGATGGTTCCTCCATCAACAGGGTTCATGCCTCCATTTAATCAGAACAAGATGGCTGTTTATCCGAGCTACGGTTACATGCCAATGTGGCATTACTTGCCTCAATCAGTTAGTGATACATCTCGTGATCAAGAACTCAGGCCTCCTGCTGCTTAAAACTCTCCATTTGGTACTAGAAATTTAGAGAGATCTCTATCCACTTGGTTTTACAATTCTTCTGTTTGGCAAGTGTAAAAGCTTTTACTCTTTTGTCTTTGGGTTGTATTTTCAATAAAATGCACATAAAGTCCAGAAACTTGCCGTTCCTGGTGGATTTTTATGCAAAAAGAGACTATGACTTTGATGTATGTTGTAAAAGCTTAAGGTGGGGTCAAAAAAGAGGAGCGATATGCTCTCGTTGAGAGTCGAACTCAAGACCTCCCGCTTACTAAACGGGTGCTCTAACCAACTGAGCTACGAGAGCAACTCATTGAGACATTTCTCTTGTAAATTTATATTTTTACTATCTAGTGAGATGCTTCTTATCAACCAGTTGTTAGTCCTAAAAAGGAGGCTCTGTTAATGGAACTGTGCAGAGAATTTTCAGAAAGTGAATGGGTTTTGATGAGGTTGTTGAGCTGATGGCAGTTCCACAACCAAAAGCATCAGTCACATAGTAATTTAGTCTAAATGTAAATGGTATCTCTCTCTAAGAGAACCGGAAGTGTGAAAAAGCGTCTATAGAGAAAAGCAAAATGATTTGCAAAGATTTTGCCTCATCGCATACCATCTCTAAACCCATGTCTGGATACCAAAACAAAAATACACACCCGCTTATGCTACAAAAGCTGGAAAAAAAAAACACGATGAAAACATTTTTCCTCTATCTTCAGTTTGCTTTAGCTTTTGGAGTCTTCTTCCGGAGTTGCCTACGATGCCTCCTCGAGTTCTTCATTCCAATAAAGAAGAGGAGTGCCCCAACGAGTGCAAGACTCTGTAGAGTCAAAAGCACACACATAATAAAAGAATCGCATATCATGATCAAGATTCAACATTGAATAATAGAACTAACGTATTTAATTAAACCCATTTGGCTAACCTGAGTAAACTTGGAAAACAGTTGGCTAAACTCCTTTCTCTCAACATCGTAGTTGTAGAAATCGTAAAGAATTGGTGTAGCAACAGCTTGATGAAGAAGCTGCAACCATATTTCGTTGAGTTATAAAAAAATGACAAATCTATATTCAATAGAGGAAGAGTTGGGTACATACCAGGAGATAGGCTCCCAAGGAGCTGCCAAAAACGAACAAAAGTCCACCAATACCCTTTAAGGCTATAGCAGCAGCAACAAGAAGCTTCATCTGCAAAAAAACCAAACAAGTTGAATAAAACTAAAAGGCTAAAAAAACTATTGTGGTTAGAGACAAGATATGAAGAAGGCAACTTACATCGACTGGTGGCAATTGCTGACCAGTATGAGTCGTCACGTGACTAACAAAAGCATTGAACTTTGGTCTTAGAGATTTAGCTGCTCGTCCTCCATCATTGCCAAAATCATTGAACCTGCTCATTCAAGCAAGAGAAATTACGTTAGCTTAATTAAAGGTCAACGCAAGCAAGCTACCAAATTAAGATTAATAGTAATTTACTTCTTCTCTAAGATGTTAGTAACATATATATAATATATATTCAAGAATACAAAAGCAGATCTTGAAGGTGAAGAAGAAAGATGCTTACTCTTGCCAGGCGGAGAGAAGAAAGACGGAAACGAAGAGAGCTCTGCCAAGGAAGGAAACTAACTCCATGGAAGCTCCAACGACAGCAAAGAGAGTTAGATTTGTGTCCGAAGAAACACACAAAAAGGAAGAGGCGCGATTTTGAAAATATTTAGGCGAGCGAAGCTGAGTATTCCTTAAAGACTGTTCGTTGACTTTAGTAGCGCGAGTGTATTCGCTGCTTCCTTTTTCTTTTAAGAATGAGCCACGTGGATAATTTACACGTCTATTGGCCAATTACATGCGTCCTTGTCATTACGTCTGACCAATCAAACTCATGTTGTGATCCACAATTTTTCAAGTATTTTGAAAATTAACTGTTATTGTTTTTTGGATCCAAAATTTCTCATCTATCTTAATAAAACTGACGTATACATTATTTAAATTTAATCTACTAACTTTTAAGATATTTACATCAAAATCAGCACAATCAAATAAATTTTGGATGTCTTTTTTTGGTCAAAGTAAATTTTAGATGTTATTTTGTAAAAAGGAAAATTCCATATAAATACCCCAACTAAATTCTATTAAGCTTTTTAATACCCAAACTTTTTCACTACCCAGTTTAAAATCTCAACTAATTATTCTGCCCACTTTAATACATCAACTTTTATAACTGTATCCATTTTAATACTCAAACTTTGTTTATTTTAATTAACAATACTAATAAGTTTCCAATGAAATTTTAAAAATGTCTAAACTTCACAAAAAAAATTAATTTTATTATATGTTTGAGTAACGAAATTAAATAATTTTTTTATAATCTTAAGTTTTGTAATAAGTTTTTTAAGTTTTATATATTGAATTTAGTTTGTTTTTTTGAAATAAAAAGTAAATTATTTTTTTCCTTCAAAAACTTTTTTTTTTAACATTAAATTTTCTACAGAGTTTGTTTACCTTATTTCTTAAATCTTCAAATAAACTTAGAAAATTTAAATACTTTTTCTTAGATTTTGGAGATTTTTTAAAATTTCGTTTGAAATTTATTAGTATTGTTAATTAAAATAAACAAAGTTTGAGTATTAAAATAGATACAGTTATAAAAGCTGGTGTATTAAAATGGGCAGAATAATTAGTTGAGGTATTAAACTGGGTAGTGAAAAAGTTTGGGTATTAAAAAGCTTAATATAATTTAGTTGGGATATTTCTATGGAATTTTCCCTTTGTAAAATTACAATTACTTTTTTTTTTGACATTTCTCTGATGCAAATTGTGTGTTTTATTAACATTTTCTGCCTATAAGAATTCAGACAAACACACATCATAAAAAAAACAAAAGCTAAAGTTGAAATGCCATCATCGATTTCCGATAAGATAAGTTTGTCGTGAGCTTGAACATGTGAACTTCAAAAATAATGGTAACCTCCATCTTCATTTCTCCGAGATATCGATGATGGTAAAGAACCGAACTCTGATACCAATTATTATAAAAAGTCCTTAATAATATTTATTCTTGTGGATGGAAAATAGATAGCTAATATTTAAGATAAACTTTGTATATTGAGATAGATATTTTCTACAGAAACTTTTGTATTTAGAGACTATTTTAGAATTCTCTTTAAAATGTGTTTCTCTCTTCTTTATTTTTTTAAGAAATGTGGATGTCTCCATCCAATTTTAAGTTTTCTCTTCGATATGATCAGAGGCGGTCTTACGAAAAAAATTGACTAGGTCAAAAAACAATAAAAGTATCACTTATGGCTTAACCCTGGTTTTGAGGGTCAGACACCACATTCAACCAACTGAGCAAGTGATTTTTTTTTTTGTAATTTTCTATATAAAATTAACATATTATTATGATACTTGAGAATCTGAAGTTTAGATACCATATTGTAGATCTTAAATCTCTTTTGGGGGGGGGGGGGGGGGTGCTTATTATAGCTGAATCACCGTTTTCGGTCGGATTTACCTGGATCAGATATGAAATGGGGTGAACGCAAAATCTACCTATACAATGTCACATGTGGGCTCTACATGTTGGATTGGTGGGAATGGATACCTCTTCAATGGTTTGGTGGTGGTCTTGTTGTGGTTCTTAGCATACAACGGTATACAGCTACGCACTTTTCAGGATTATTCAAGAGGCATTTGACATGAAAACAGGCTGCACGTTAGAGCATGAAAAGGCTGGAACCTCCAAAGGCAATTAAATTGCCTAAAATAACTAGTCAACTAGACGTTTTCGTTACGTTTTTTTTTTAATATTGTGTTAATTGGACGTCCCTCAGTTCTCTTATGACTGAGTAAATTTGTTTGATTTATGGCCTTATCTGATTATGACATCGTTGAGCATTATCTTCTACTAGCTAGCTTGTCTATCTAGCAAAAGAGTTAGTGAGCTAATCCAACTAATGATAAAAGCCAGTGAAGTAATTAATCAATCATGTTGGTCTCATATATATCGAATATAATTGCCTAAAAGTCTATTCATGCTGAATAGTTAGATCTCCGTCAAGTCATACCTATAACCATAGTACCATACGTAATACTTTATCAACCAAAAACAAGATTTCTAAATGACATCTATACTCAAAGCTGACAAGTTGTTTATATCAAAATCAAACTACTTATAGCGATACAACTAGGGCTGGGCAATCGGGGTCCCAATCGGATATCGGTTCGGGTTTATTCGGGTTTCGGGTTTTCGGGTTCATGAATTTCAGCCCCATTCGGATATTATAAAAATTCGGGTCGGATTCGGTTCGGGTTTAGTCGGGTTCGGTTCGGGTTTAGTAACATGTCCAAGATCCGGTTGAACCCGAAATAGTTTCGGTTTCGGATACTAATCGGGTTATCGGTTCTAAAAATACTAATTTATACTCAATTNCATTATATAAACTTCAAAACAAATTTATTCGTAACTTAACTTCAAATGTAATGTCAATCATAAACATTAATATTAACCAAATAACACTATATATTAGACTAAATATTTGAGCTAATTATTTATATCATAACTAATTATTGTAGGTACTCAATAATATATTAATCTGTTTTGGAAACATATTAGAAATTTAGATTGGATACGATACAAGTTTTTTTGGAATTTTAAAGTTTCGGGTTCTTTCGGATATCCATTTAAGTTCGGGTTCGGTTCGGGTAATACACATAACCCAAAATACCGTAAAACAAGATCCATTCGGTACTTATGTCGGGTTCGGATCGGTTCGGGTTCCTTTTTATCGGGTCGGATCGGTTCGGATTTTCGGGTTCGGTTTTTTTTGCCCAGCCCTAGGTACAACTATAAGTACACTCATAATTGTTAATCACACATCAACGACGTCTGAGTTGTATGCATAAAAGAATATAGATCCCATCTCAATTTATTGGGACAATGACATATGTTTGTAGAAAAATAAACAAGTGAGGACATGTCAACGTGTACACAATACAATCACAAATTAATGCATATACACCACCACTCAACTACAATTTCAGAGCATTCCATATAAAGGAATCCTAAATCCAACTACTACAGTTACTTTTACAGCAAAAAAAACTTAGATCGAAAGAGAGACACACACGTCATTCCCGTATGCATTTAATAGAGTGATAACAAATTGGTTGGGAAGTTATTTTTTGGTAATCTTAAATGGTTGGGAAGTTCACCCAATTAAAGACATAAGGTGCTACATTTTACCATTTATAAATATACAGTTGGGTCTCTCTCTACTCCGTATACTTCACAATTAAACTTCACTCAGTACATCCTTAGCTTACGCACCATGTGCACATTAGAGAAGCGTGGAGATCTCTTTCTCCTAACCTTAACCGGCGACGACGAGCACAGATTCCACCCGGACACGATCACCTCCGTTCTCTCACTTCTCCAACAAGCAAAATCTCAATCCACACGTGGCTCCGTCCTAATCACAACAGCTCATGGAAAATTCTTCTCAAACGGCTTTGACCTAGCTTGGGCCCAATCCGCTGGTTCCCAAACCGGCGCAGTAAACCGGATGCACCAAATGGTCGAATCTTTCAAACCTGTGATATCAGCACTCTTCGAACTTCCCATGCCGACGATCGCCGCTTTAAACGGCCACGCGGCCGCCTCGGGGCTGATGTTTGCGTTGAGCCACGACTACGTTTTCATGAGGAAAGACCGTGGCGTTTTGTACATGAGCGAGGTGGATCTTGGGCTGCCCTTGCCCGACTACTTTGCGGCCATGTTTGCCGCAAAGATCGGGACGAGTATCGCTAGAAGAGAGCTGTTGCTGAGTGGGAAGAAGCTCAAAGGAGAGGAAGCTGTGGCTTTGGGGATCGTTGACTCCGCGGGGCAGGATAGTGCGGAAGGTGTTGTGGAGGCTACGGTGAGCCTTGGAGAGAGCTTGGCGGCTAAGAGATGGAATGGTGAGGTTTATGCGTCGATCAGGAAGAGTTTGTATCCGGAGGTTTGTGCGATGTTAGGTTTAACGGCCAAGATCGCTGCAACTCCTTAATTTCTTAGCGTTTTCTTAATCAGGCGGCAACCTTTTTCAAATCAGAATACTTTACAAAATTGTTATATTATTGTTGCTGAAAAATGGCATGTCGTTATAAGAATTTAAGGAGATGGCACCGTTTAATACTGATCTTTTGGCAATACAAAATTTATATTATTATTGCAGGAGCCAGGAAGACGCGGTTTGGGTGTGTTACGGCTTTATGCTTATCTATACAAATCTGATTGAACTGTCTTTATGACAAGAAAACAGCATATAAAAGTTGTACTTCCTATGAAGATGGACCCGCACCGGTTGTTATGTAGCTAAATATTAAAAACTTTCGTACAAATTGAAACAAACTTATAGTCAACAAATCTCTGTAAAGAAATGGTCAACCAAATGGAAAAAAAGGAAGCGAGTCGCAAGCTAAAAACAGCTAATTTTCCTCCTCAACTCTTTGACCGTAGCCCAACCGTGTACGTAGTCAACATGATATCCGCCTGTTTCCTATATATTAACTTCACAAATAACATCACACACCACAATCAAATATCCTCGGAGACAAAACTCTTATAGCCCAACATTAACATTCAGAAAACATCTCTCCCTATGGCCTACACAATGACAAACACAAGCAGTTCAAACGTCAGAGACGAGCGGCAATCTAACAGACTACAGAGACGGCTTCCTTCTTTAAAGATAGAGATTACGTCCGTTACTACGTGGAACGTAGCCATCCCTCTGCTCTCGCCGCTAGCTTCTTCCCCCAAATCATCCTTGGACCAATCTGATGTTAGTCCGTCGCATAACCAGGCTGAGAAACCGGCAGAAGAAGTGAAGAAGACGCCAGTTTTCAAGAAGTGGCAGCATCCGGCGTCGCCGTTCTGCTACGACCAGACGACGTTTGTCCAACCGTTCATCTCGGTATAGAAAGGGTTTCATAGAGAGTTAATGATCCAACGCGCATTCTGAAGCTTGTTCGTGTGTCAACGCATGTTTAACCTTTTTTTTTTCACCTTTTGTGCGTAGAATACTAGAATCTAACAACTCATCATTTTCTCTTGTTGTTTAGGATGTAATCAAGATTATTTAATTTTCTAGTAACATTAACCAGTCAAAAGACACGTTCCACATATGATGTATTATTTTGTCTTTTCATACAGTTTTTAGTAATTGTGAATGGGTATATATATATATATGGAAACCGTTTGTTTCTGGCTCCATCGACTATTGTTGTCATTAATATATGGATTTTTATCTACAATAATTTAAGATTCTGCAAAACGAGATATATTAGTTAAACACACAAGATTGGGATGCTAATATCATCTTTCTTCTGACTTAATATTTACCAGAAAGTGATCTGCGCCATATATTGTTTTCATTTTTATAAATATCTATTTTTATAACAAACCTATTAAATATATTATTTATAGTTTGGTCTTTTATATTGTGGCACGCGAATATTTTTTTATAATTGTGAATATTTTTTTTTAGATAACAAAAGGATTAAATATATTATTTATAATTTGGTATGTTATATTATATAAATTTGTAATTTTGATGGTTTAATTTTTCGTTTTCAAAACGCGAGTTTTTTTGTGTTGATAAAAATATTATTTAATAATAATTGTAAATTTGTACACAATTTAAGTGTTTTTAAGTTTGTGGTGTACCTAATTTATTTTATTGCTTTCATAATTGATTTATTTTATGTTTTCAAATTGAAATGAAATCATTTATATTTTTAACCCGTTACACACGGGTCAGAATTTATTTTAATAATAATACTAGATTTTGACCCGCACAACTGTGCGGGTATTTTAATAAAAAAATATTTAAAATTATATAATAAAATTTATCAATATAATTTGATTATGTATACTATCCAATTTTATAATAATGTTTATGTGAATTATAATATTATTAATATAAAATTTATAAATTTGTATTTTTGTAACAGTTTTTAAAACATTATTATGTAACATTACTAATTTATATATTTTGTTTTATTTCTAAATTTGAACTATATGTAAAGGGTAAATTAAGTTAAACCTACATAATACAAAAACAAAATTTGGGATATTGTTAAAAGTATTTTACATAATTTTAATTTTTGTTGATAAATAAAAAATGAATTAAAATTTTAATTATATTTTAGGATAATTAAAATTTTAACCAAATAATTTTTGAAACTATATCTTGAAAAGATTCTAAAAGATTTTTAAAAGATTTTGTTAGAATTTTCTTAAAACTATTTATTTGTATTTCAAATAAAAATTAAAGATATGAAAAGATATTATAACAATATTATGTTAAATTTTATAAAATTCTAAGGATGGTCCAAACTAAAATATCACACATGAAGTGAGTCATGACTTCTCTTTTAATATAATAGATTTTAAAATGAGTTGTTATGGTAGTTAACCTATCCCGTACGCAAATTGTAAATTAAGTTCAGTAAAATATGAATCCTAAAATATTCAATATATACAATTTTTTTTTTGAACAACTCAATATATACAATCATATGTGAGTTTTATACTGAAATTGGTTATTATTATAAGTTCTAATCATTTAAATATGGCCCGGGCTAAGCCCAGCTAGCATTCCCCTTATCTTTTTCTATATACCATGTCTCTGTAACTTTCAAACACGAAATCATACGTTTCTGGAACTGAATCAGAAATGGAGGACCCGTTCACAAATCACAATGCTCTGATTCCCTCTATGATGGTGAGTCTTCGAAGAGAAGACAAAACTAGTGATTTGAGTCTGTCTCCAAACTATAGTTTGAATACAAACACTTGACTCCTAACAGCTAGTTTTCTACTGTCTGGTTCGAGTCCTTGTTCTTCCACTTGAGCACAAGCTTTTGTAATTACCATCCGAGAACCCGGAATATGCTAATGGCACCACAATTATTTTGCTTTTGCAGGCTATTAAACTACATCAAAAGCTGAACTTGTTACATCAGTACTTTTTTCGTTTCGGAATCTAAAACATTAATTATATTTTTGGGGTTCCCCTGATGAATGATAGATACACTGAGTTCTAGTCAAGGGACCCATATTAAAACACGACAAAGAAAGAGACTGAAGGGAATGGTGAACCGAAAGAAAATGGTCGATCGAGACACTTGTTTTTGTCCTAAGCACAATCATCTCATGTCATTTCATGTAATGTAGTAAAATCTTCTTTATGATCTGTCAACTATTTGATCACAAACAAACAAGGTCTTGGATCGTGTTGACAATCTTGACTGCAAAAAGCTTAATTGATTGATAAGCTTAATTATTAGGTTTCCGTGGAAAAGTTTAGCAAAATGGTAATGTGGAATCAATTTGCCGTGAATGTTTAATTTTTGAATCTGGGTAAAAAATCACAAGTTGACAGAACACTTCAAAAAAGAATTTGACTTTTTCCACTTTAGGTAACGAGTTGACAATGATTGACAAGTTGACATGTACATTTTCCAATGGTTCTGTTTCTGGTCATATCATCTCCTAGTTAGGTCTGAAATATTTGGATTCCAAATAAACCCATCCGAACCCGACTCGAATATCCGAATGACTAGACGACTTATAATTAAGTTGAACTCTTTTTATCAGATTATATTTTCATTATATTATGTCTAACAAATACAGACTTATCATGATTAGACGTCAGTTAATCGGATTTGATTTTTCAGACGTAATCAGGTCCGTCATATAGCATTAATTAAGCAAAATATGTTAATATCTTATTGTAGAAATAAGTGCTACTTGGCGAGAGTAGAGAGCCGTCGGGGAAGGGGAAAATGACGTGATCCCCACCTTTCTCAATGTTCACGCGCACTACACCCCACTTAACCCTAATTGAGTAATTTCCAACACTAATTAATCGTTTCATCACTATTTTTCGTTGAATAAAATGTAAAACTCGATGTTATATTACTGTGTTCTGAAAAAAAAAAACGATAGTAAACTAGATTAAAATTTATTAATAATTATACACCACAAAATTTTCAGTCTTAGATAAACGATTTACTTACAAATATGCATTAATGAAGAAAATGTTTACAAATATGCATACTACTATACTACAAATAAACCTGTTAAGCTTAAATCTTCATAAGAAGTGGTTAAATGTGAAGCAAGTAGAATCGTTTTAATCTTCTAAAATCATGTAAAATTGTTGTAAAGTCATGATGTTACATTCTCATAATTTATAGTAAAATAGTAGATAGAGGTTAGAAAAGCAACACTTTGGTTTTGTTCCTTATTTCGATTTTTGACCAAAATGCGTATCAGTATGTTTATTTTATTTATTTAAGTTAGAATGTTATATATATAAATATAAATATATATGCATGTTATTTAACTTCATATATAAGAAAGTAAACTATCTACTAAAATTAAATGTTTTATTTGACAGATATAATCATAACGTGTATTGGTTCTCAACTCAATTTTTTTCTTGTTAATACAATCGTTTAAGGCTGTAAACTTGGGCTTCACAAAGCTGTATAGAATCAACTACATGTTTTCTGGATTTATTTCCATACGTGAATTATAAACGGACTAATCTTTCCTTAAATATATTACCATTCAAATTAGAAAAGGCAGGAAACTACTTTTTTCGACAATCTCAGTAGTAGGAGCGTATAATTAAGTTTTAACTGAAAGTTCTGGTAGCATAAACAAAGGCGAGTGCAGTAATTGCGTTATGGTCTTGTCGGAGCCTAGAACTTTGGCTTAATCTGTATTCAATTCCAATGTTAGTTTTTAAATAAACCCATAAATGGGTCCAGCGTACACATATTTATAAAAGAAACTGCACATATATATAGTAGTATTGCGTTCTTGGATTCTATATAAATAATAATACTTGGTCTAACTTGTGGAAAGTTAATTATTTCCCACTTTATCTCCTTCTCTCTCTCCTTTCTTCGTGGGAATAGATATTTGATTCTTGGAAAGAAAAACACAGTTTCAAATAGCTTTGATTCCAGCTCCATTCCATACTTGCATCTAATTCTCCTACATTAGCCTTTTCTTCTTTATTATTCGACAATTCCTTAATCCACATGTTGTTACAGATATAGAAATCTTCAAGAAGTAGCTATAAACACCCTTTGACCTTGTGTATTTGTAACCCTAAAAACCAAGCCTTCAAGAAAAGCCGTCAAGGTAACACTTGATCTTTCTTTGAGGGAGTTTTCAAAATTTTCAGCGATTATGTCAAACCCTTGGTGGACCAACCAAAGTGGTTTAGCCGGCATGGTCGACCACTCAGCCACCTCCGACCATCACCACCAAAGTCTTCTCAGAAAAGGAGATCTTGGTATAGCTATGAATCTGAGCCAAGAAAACGACCAAGAAGACGAAGACGACCCTAGAGAAGGAGCGGTCGAAGTGGTCAACCGTAGACCAAGAGGAAGACCACCAGGATCCAAAAACAAACCCAAGGCTCCAGTCTTTGTGACAAGAGATAGCCCCAACGCACTCCATAGCCATGTCATGGAGATCTCGGACGGTAGCGACGTTGCCGACACAATAGCTCACTTCTCAAGACGTAGGCAACGCGGCGTTTGCGTTTTAAGCGGAACAGGCTCAGTAGCTAACGTCACCCTCCGTCAAGCGGCTGCACCAGGAGGGGTCGTCTCACTCCAGGGAAGGTTTGAGATCTTATCTTTAACCGGCGCTTTCCTTCCTGGACCTGCCCCACCCGGATCAACTGGCTTAACAGTTTACTTAGCCGGGGTCCAAGGGCAGGTTCTTGGAGGTAGCGTTGTGGGCCCTCTTGTGGCCATAGGGTCAGTGATGGTTATTGCTGCCACTTTCTCTAACGCTACTTATGAGAGGTTGCCTATTGAAGAAGAGGAAGACGGTGGTGGTGGAGGTGGCGGCTCAAGACAGGTTCATGGAGGCGGAGACTCGCCGCCCGGGACCGGGAGTAGCCTGCCTGATCCGTCGGGGATGGCTGGACCCGTGGGCTATAATTTACCGCCGCATCTGATTCCAAATGGAGCTGGTCAGCTAGGGCATGAACCATATAATTGGGTTCATGCACGACCACCTTACTGACTCTGTGAGCCATTTCTCTATTCTATATAAATAATAAATATAGAGATGGATTTAAGTGATTTGAGGCACAATCTTGTGGTCTTTGCAATATTCTAAACCTTGTTGCTGGAAATAAAATAAATAACAAAGCTTGTTCTTATTGGAAACATAAGGCCTGGAACGTAAAAACATACGGGGGACGAAGGGACTATCGGATTTCAATGAATAAACAATGTAATCAAATTAGAATATTTGTCATTTTATTTTTGGTTGGGAGTATTCAACTAGAATATTTGTACGTGTTTGCTTTTGTGAACTTTAGATACTTTACATTTTGATTTGCACAAAATCATAAGTTTGTATACATATATATATATATATATAGACAATTATGGTTCAACGATGAAAGAGTATCGAAAGCATGGACTAATATCTGTGCCTTTGGATTTTATTCTATATTAGTTCTGATTCGTAAGTATTTATAATTAAGGGTTGCAGTCGACCATTAGTGATTATCATAGTGGTTGAGCTTTAATTTTCGCGTAATGATGCTAGTGGGGGATTGTTTAATGGGACTTTTGTTTAATATGACTTTACCAACCAAATAATGAGAGTAGGTATTAAAAATTTTGTTGACTAATTAAAGGATATACTCTCGATCAGCATATATATCATCAATATAGCCCAGTGTTAAAAAAAGATAGAAATATGTAAATCTGTGAAATGATAATATATAAGTCATATAATGAAACTATATGTGTGATCAGATTAGCTTTGTAGGAATTACCAATGTATATATTACATTAAAGTAAATACTAAATAAATTTTCATATATTTCCATATAATATATAAATTATTGAAAAATATTAAAAGTTTGTGACACCTTAAAAATAATACAAAAGCCGGCTAGGATTAGTTTTGAACATGAGTAAAATATATGATGAGATTTTGGCATAAATTCACGTCTCATGCGTAGAGAGAACATAGTAATAGAGAGTAATAGCCGAAACAGGATAAGTTTTGGCTAGAGCTTATAAAAGTAGCATATTCTTCATTATAAGCAATTAGTTTTATTAATTTCTGTAGTTAACTTATATGCATGGGTAAAACTTAACATGAGATAAGACGTTTGTTTTCATTTGTTGCTTAATGAGTTTTGATTTGTATTTCTGTAACTCAATACAAACTTGCATTCTATGCATTTTTTTAGCAGGACGTTTATTTGTAAAGTATTTGTGGAATTGTGTTAAAACGTTATTTTACAGTTTAACAATTAGAATCGTGAATAGTAAATTTATACTATAACTTAAGAAAACGATAATTGTGGGTAAATCATATATAAAGCAATTTACTTTTATATTTGTGGGTAAATAATGAGCAAAACTCTTTTAAAAGTTTACAAAGAAGAAAAAGAGATAGTGAACAAAACTCTTAGGGTTGTACCACACACACCGGTGGACTGATCTCGACATCCTATACGTCCTCCTATATACGATCGGCAATTAATCGGGAGTCCTACGCAATGGAAGAAGTTAATCCAGAGAAGCCGACGTCTGGATGTGGAACTCGAAGATCATATAATCACTATTGCAGATTGGCAGTGTTCCATTTCGAAAGAGCAACGATATATAATAGTATGAACTAATATACATAAGGAAATTATAAGTTTTGAATCCAAATGAAAATGTTCTCAGACACGATTACCTAAACATAAACAATAGTTATGTTGAAAAGTCCGATTACCTAAACATAAACAACTGTTATCGATACTCTTTCCGAAATGGAACACTATGTCAATCTGCAATACTGATTATATCATATTCCAGCTTGACATCCAGACATCCGCTTGTATGGACTTTTCAGCCAAGTAGTGGAATTTGATCATTAAAAATTTAAAACTAATGAAAAAATAATAATTTAAAACTAATACATTCTTATAGGGGTATAGGAAGTATATTTAATCTATAGTTTGAAACGATTTGATTTTTAATAAACTCTTAGATGATTTTATATGACTCGAAGAATTTAATATGATTTTGTTAAATAATTTTGGATCTTCAGTTAAAATTATGGAATTTGATTTTTTTTGACAATTTTTTTTTTTAAACTAAAAAACTTCAACCAAATTATTCTAACATCACTTGAAAAACTTTACTACTCACAACATACATATTCTAAAATAACAGTAAATTTCAGATTATCTTACAAAAATCAAATTCAATAACATTAAATATTAAGTGGGTTGCAAAAGTAGAATAAATTTATAATTTTAATATAAACTATCTCAAACTCTCCGAGGAATACAGTCTGTGTTTTTTTTCTTGTAATGGCGCAACATAAAGGACCAACTTCACATGAATTCACGTGTCAGTTGTCCAAATTCAAGCGAATGGGACGTATTTGGTTATTCTAGTAATATAATCTGATTATAAATTCGTATATTTAAGAACAGATGGTGTCCCATCATTCCAAAGCTAGAATGCATCATCATTATTTACCTTAACCGGAACAGTTCATTCACTAATTACAATTGAATAGTGATAACCCTCATTTTTGTGTGCAAACTACTTATTGATTATCATTTAAACAAAAATCATTGAGAACAAAGCCTGTTTGGCTACAGAGTCTTTCTTTATCATTTGCAATTCTAGGGATAAACTTAAACCTGATTGAAAGATGAGATAGATGATAGACGATGTCGTGGAGGATTCCATAGATTTTCAGGTTCACTACCTTGTTTTGATCAATCTAACCAAATGTTGAGTGTCGGATAACCCTCTTTGCAATGTATTCTCTAGTTAGATAGTATTTCACTATTGACCTGAAAAGGTAAAAGGTGCAAATGCGTTTTTTTTTCTAGCATCAAGAACGTTATGAAAACGATTTAGATGATTGTCCCAAAAACTTGAAAGTGGTGGCAGCATAATTAAAACTTTCCAAACCTACCATAAATCAATGTCCTATCGATCCATATAAATAAAAAACCATTATGTTCTAACTACTAAGCAAGGTTATGTTCGTTTTTGTATTTGGTTGCAACATCTAAATGCAGCATCTGAATATAACATTTGGACATAACATCCAAATATGTTTGTTTTATAGTTTGTATTTGTTTCTAGATACAACATTTAGATGCTAAATTGTTCTTCTTTTTTATTATATAATATCATTTTTAATACTACTAGTTAAATACTATAAATGACATGTTTTATATAACTAATTAATTATTGTATTTGAATAATATATCTATAAATTGTATTTGTAGCAGAATTCATTGTGGAAATTTTGGTTATAAGGTTTTGGCATAAAATCCAATTTTACGGTTTTTGCAGGACTTCAATTATACAGTTTTGGTGGAAAATGTAATTTTACAATTTTGGCAGAAAATACAATTTTTCGATTTTTGTAAAAATTCGATTTTGCGGTGTAGGCGAAAAATCCGATTTTGCGTTTTTTACTAAAGCTCTAATTTTCATATTTGGCGGGAATACTCAATTTATTGGGTTGCGAGGAAAATTATCTGCAATTTTGGAAATAAAACTGATTTTACAGTTTTGGTGAGAACCTGATTTTTCGGTTTTGGCAGAAAAATTAATTTTCGGTTTTGGTGGCAAACACAAACTTTTGGTTTTGATGAAAAAACTTAATTTTGTGATTTTGGCAGAGAACATGATTATACAGCTTTGGATAAAAAAACATAGTTTTGCAATTTTGGCGAAAAAAAATAAATTTTGGAAAAAAGGTAAATTTATAGTTATGGTGGAAAAACATGATTTTCATTTTTAGCGGAAAATTATAGATATGGCAAGAATTTGATTTTACATTTTGGGTGAAAAAATCAATTTTATGATTTTAGTTAAAAAAAACTCAATTTTATGTTCCTTGTGGAAAACTAACATTTACAGTTATTGCGGAAATATCTAATTTTACTTTTTGACAGAAAACACAATTTTTTATTATATATATATATATATATATTCTAAAGTAGTTATTTTATATTTTTTTGAAAAATATTTAAAGTTCTTTAGATTTTGAGATACAAATGCAGCATAATACTCTACATTTTTAAAGGGAATTTTTATTTTGCATTCATACTCTAATTTTTTTAGATGTATGGATTTTGCATCTATATTGTTAACGCAGTAGTATCTAAATGAACAACAATTGTGCATCATCTAGATGCAGCATACAACATTAAAAAAAAAAAAACAAGGACTTTATTGGAAACTAAACCTTCGGCCACACATCAAATGAAGCAAAGATACAGATGAGGAGGCGAATAGTTTTGGATGTAGTATGTTGTTTCTTTCAGTCCAGAGCTTGTAAACATGAAACTGCCATGCTAGAAAGGGGAGCAAGCGCTCCCGCATGCTGAAAAGGAAGATTTTGCAAATAGAATACATCGATGTGATACATAGGGTATCTGATAACAATATAGTACAAAGGTGTTTATGTATAACTCAGCAAAGGAATCTTGTTTATTCATGAATTATAAAAGACATAAATTACACACACAACCACTAGCTCATATTTACAAAGTAACTCATCTCACCAGGAGAGTTACATAACTTCTTTAGGGTAAGCCTTTTTTTTCTTTTCAGGTTTCTCACACATTTCAATTATTTGAAAATCACACAAGCGTTGCCTTTGCAAGCTGAAGCGCTTTCTCTCGCCCGTAAAACTTCTCCACAATCGCAAGTGAAAACTCCATTGCAGTCCCTGGAGCTCTGCTCGTTATGACGTTTCCGTCCACCACGACTCTGTCCTCAATGTGACTCTTGTCTGAAAGCTTGTCACTCACCCTTGGGTGAGTAGTTGCCTTCTTACCCTATACAAAAACATATCTCTTACATCTCTGTTTAATGACTAACAAGAAACTACAGTTCGAGTTACCTTGAGTAAACCATTAGGCTCAAAGACGTAAACAGGAGATTTACAGATTCCTCCAAATGGTTTGTTTGCTTCTGCCTGTTTCTTTAACATATCCACCAATTTCTCACAGTTTGCGAATCTTTGAGCACTATCACCGCCCTGTAGTTTGATTATTTGTCATTGTAATAATTCCAAAATGTTCTTTTGAGACTTAATAGTAAGTTCTCATGTGTTTGAGAGTTAGCACTACTCACAGGCAACACAATCAGATCAAACGACTTCTCTGCAACCTCATCAAGAAGCACATCTGCTATTAGCTTAGCTTTTCATGATCCTACAACTTCCAAACTATTACCAATTGAAGCAATCACGACATTTGCTTTTGCCCGCCTCAGGATATCAACAAGTGCTATAGCTTCAGTCTCCTCTGAGTCCTCTGCAATGGGTACTAGAATCTGAAATGGGAAAACATTATCTTTCCTGCTTATAAAACGACCAGACAGAGTCTGTCTTGGCAAAATAACTGTAGAGGCAAGATACCTGTGGCGTATCCTCAAATAACCACTCTGTTTTGTTAAGCTCAGTAAAAGTATATTCCTCACCAGGGTTAGGACGAACCAACTTGTTAAAAAAAAATAGAACATGTAAGTCTCAGCGAATATATATGACATAACGAGTTTAAACACTATACTGCTCCACTTAGATTTCTGTTGAGACAATACCAAGATACTAGAGACTTCATCAGCTTTCTCTTTCCCATACAACTGCTCTACAAGCGTGATGGAGAATTCTATAGTGGTTCCTGGTCCACGACTGGTCACAATTCTTCCATCTATTTGCACTCTTGACTCAACAGCAGTGGCACAAGTAGCCGCAAGTTTCTCCATAAAAACCGGGTAACCCGTTGCCTACAAAAAAGAAACACAATATATAAAAATCAAGACAATATTAGACAAGAACTGAAAACAAGATTCATGGATACTTACTTTCTTGCCTTGTAGTAGACCCCAAGTACCAAGAGCCAACGCAGGAGCACAACATATAGCTGCGTTAAGTCGTCCATCTGCGTCTTGTTTCTTTACCATATTCTCTAACGGTTTACAGTTTTCAAGAGTCTCGCCACCGGGAAGCCCTCCCTTTTTTATCAATCATATATAAAATATAATATTTAGTAAAACAAATTCTCAAGTATTTCAGCAAACATGAGAAAGAGACTTACGGGGAGCACAATAAGGTCGAAAGTAGAATCGGTAATATCAGAGAGGAGAGTATCAGCGACCATCTTGATACCATGACAAGCATCAACGCTAACTTGAGTCTCTACGGACGCCACCGTCACGTCAGCACCACCTCTACGTAACGTGGTGATCATGGCCACTGCTTCTAGAGGCTCCGTACCGTGCGCAATAGGGATCAAAACCTAAAGAGATGCCAAAAGAAAACTCGTTTAGAGGGGGAAAATGAATGATTTCGTGATCGTGAAACAACACTGACCGTCTTCGTAGATGGAGCCATGGATTTGCGTAGGTACGAGGACGAAGGTAAATTAGAAGAAGAGAGATGGAGGTTAGTGGATAAGAAAGGAGTGTCACTACACTAATGGGGTTTAAATAGTGGAAAGTCTGTAACGACGACGTCACAAGTCTTTGACGTATGCGATTACGTAAACATAAAGAAAAAGGATCTGAGTGAGAAACCATTGTTTCCATCTTTCCACGTATTGTACTTCTTTTCTCGTACACGAAGACGGCTTGACGTTGGCAAGAAACGCGATCACGTCCCGGTTCTTGATTTTGTGCAACCATGTGTGTGTCGTTTCTGATATTTGTAGTAGAGTAAACCGGATGAAGTTCTGAACCGGAAAATGCTTTTTAGTCATCAATGCAATTCAAACGAGAGACTTTTTAAACAAAACCTTGATTTACTTCAAAATCGAGTACCAACATAATTATGATTGCAATATTATAATATAAGTGTCTGGTTAAGTTTTGCCCCAAAAAAATATAAAAAAAGTTTATGGTTACGTTTAAAATGGTTCTACTTCCTACTAAAATAGTATTGATATTTGATAATTTCAAACTATGTAACTATGTTGTAATTGTAGTCGTTAACGTCAAATTCCATGTTTGAACTCAGAATAAGTTATCTAAAATAATAATATAATCCCCAGAGATCATTACTTCAACTAGAAATAACTCTGGTTATTGTGTCAGATGTCCCTAGTTCAAGTAATCAATTGATAAAAGCTAATATTAAATGATATGGTTTTGGAACTGAGGATTATTGATTCGGCTCCAAACCTCGTGTAAAGAGACTTTGGTGATTTGAGTGGGGTATGTTCCTCGGCGTCGTCTTTGCAGCGAGCAATCTGAAGTTCACACACATCATGAACCATACCGATTCTAACCCATGTTGCCATATCTTCAGAGCTGCAACAAAGACCAACGTCGAAGCTCAAAGCTTCTAAAACTGGAGCTCTCTTCGTGTTAAAACTATCGGAATGTCAAGAAAGAGCAATCTAAGAAACTCAAGTTGGTTTCTCTGCCTAGAGCCTCAAGCTCATGCCGTTTTGTAATCTAAGAAGCTCAGTGAGTTGGTTTCTCTGCCTCAGGACACTGCCGCGTTTCTTTCATTTGCTGCAATGCAGAAGTTGCATATCTACTGTCATTAGTTAAATAAAAATCCTAGATGAAGGCAAATGTATATTTTAGTAGTACTTCCGTTTAAAATGAATTGTTGTTTGGTCACGGTTGGGACGCGAATCTAAGAAAAATAGTTCAGTGCTGTATTCTGTGTGTTCTGAAAATTGGTCTAGGCATCCGCCTAGTCCGCCACTCGAACCTAAATAAAACTATTTTTCTAAACCGATTCACAAATCGGTATAGAACCCGCCTAATCAATAATCATAACAGCTGCCTTACCTAGCAATTTTTTAAACATTATTAAGCCATTAATTCTTAATTGTTGCAATTCTCTATGTCTCCAGCCTCTAGCTGAATCCAAAATGTATAATGTAGCTTCCCTCAAATAAAGGAACCAGTGGTGTATTATAGATACTGTAATGATAACATGATTTAACATAAACATGAGAAAGAAAGGCCAGCTATTGGATGAAATAGCCACTCAAGAAAAGCAAGAAGAAGAGGAAGAGACTCCCAAAGATCAAAGCAGTCTTCTGACCAGAGGTAAGTGTATTCCCGCCAAGTCCATACTGTTGATTCTGCGCAAAACCAGCAATCTCAACCATTTTACTCTCGAAGAAACTCTGAGCAGCTCCACAAGTAGGGCACCTCCAATCCTCAGGCAACTTATCAAACGGAAAACCAGGAGGGATAGGGTAGGAAGGATCACCAGATGATTCGTCGTACTTGTAGCCACAAGATCTGCACTCGTAGATTCCAGTGTTGAGAACAGCGAACTTCTCCTCCTCTCTTCTTCCTTTCTCAGCCGCGGCGGCGGCGTCGTCTTCTTCGAGTTCAGGCGTGGTGGTGGCGTCGTCTCTTGAAACGGCTGAGATGGTGATGAAGATTTGGTGATGGAGGTGTTGTTTCTTGCCGTATCTGAGAAACTGTGTTGGTTTGAGGGAAAGAGGAGACGAAGAAGAAGAAGAACGGAACTGAGTGATAGGAGAGAAGGAGGAAATAGCTGTCGCCATGTTTCCTTTGTTAGTGTTGGAGAGATAGGAGAAGAAAGGGATCCATTGGAGTAGGGAGAAGAGAGGTACGAAGGCTTGGATAAGATTTTTGAAAAGCACCACGTGGATCAAAACTCTCCATTAATCTTATTTCTCTACTTACTTGAAAATAGGAAAATCACATAAAAACTTTTCGAATGACAATTACTAACATTTTAAAACTAACACTATATACTTATTACAAATTATTACTTGAATTTTTAAAAGTTTAAATTTCTTAGGGTTCAAATTTTTCTTTTTAAGTATCATAAGTTTACTTGAATAGTTTTAAAAATTCGATTTTTTTTTTGTTTTAGACAATTTAGAAAAACATATTTGAATAATTTTAGTTTAAAAAGATTAAAAGTTAATTATTGGAGCATCCAAAACACTTTAAAAATTACGATTTTTAGAATTTTTTTTTTTTACTTTTTATTTTCTGTTTATTATTTTTAGTTATATTAGAAAAACTGACACGCTGATTTTATTTTTGTTAATGTTATTTACGATATGTTAATACTCTACAACTACATTTCACTCAATAATTCGTATAGAATATATAAAAATTAAATTAATTATATATAATTAATTTATTTTATTTAATAATATAAAATATGTTTATATATCAAAATTAGATTTTCTGTTTTTTAAAATAAATTTGTAAAATATTTTATACATTTAAATTATACAATAATTTATACAATTACATATCATATATAATTTTAATAAAAAACTATAAAATTATATATTATTTTATAAATATATTAATTAATATAAATATATCTATATTATTTAGAAATAAATAAATTATATACGGTATATTAATTTTCTGATAATTTTATATATGAATTAGTGACTATTGTAACAATCACCTTACTAAATACATGAGAACATACATAACCACATAAATGCTTTATAATCAGCTTTACCAATGAAGGTGGGTAAGTTGTGAGATTTCACTTTTCTTTTGTTTTCTGCAACAGTTGTTAGAGCACCTTTAATGGAGGTTGTTTAGAGGGTTGCTTAGGAAGAGAAGTGGCTTATTTTGAAGAGAGAGAGTGTGAAAAGTAAAGGTGCTCTAAGATTTCACAAATGTCAACAGTTTAGATTTCAGGATATTCGTTTTCGGGATACCAAAGAAACGCGCTAAGAATTGACTCGTGGGATGTGTAGTATTTGTGGGTCAAAGAGAAAGCAACCTCATCTCACAATGCTGTTTTTTATCGTTCTGTCACCCGCCAAACCTCTTTTCGACACAGCAAATAATAATCAAATTCTCATTATTATTTTTCTTCATTAATCAAAAAATCACCAAACTTAATAAATCAATAATAAATAAATAAAAGGAAATTGCTCTTCTTTTTCGTCTTCGATTCTCATGAATTCAAATACTATTAGTTTTCCTCCTGGAACCTGACATTTTTCTCAGGAAAATCTCCTCAGATCGCCATGGAAAAGATCTTATCCAACCTAATGTATATCTTCAAGAGCCTCTCTTTTACAGAGACATTCGTCGACATCTTACTCTGCGCTGTACCAATTTGGCTAGCCGTAATGATCGGTCTATTGATCGGATGGTCTTGGCGTCCGAGATGGACCGGTTTGATCTATCTAGGGTTCCGTTCTAAGCTTCGGTTTCTATGGACTGCTCCGCCTGGTTTTGGTGCTCGACGCCTTTGGCTTGCTTTCACCGCTCTCTCCGCTTTCTCCGTTTGCCGCACCCTTTGGTCAAGGCTTGACACCAAATCCACGAATGGTTCAACAGCTTCTTCGCAGATAGAAGAGAGTCTGCAAAGTGATGAAACGGGTTTAGTTTCCGGGTCAGTTTATTACAGAACATGTTTTGTTGTGTTTCAAAAAAAAAAAAAGCAGAACATGTTTTGTTTCTCTGTTCTGTTTTTGTTTCTGTTTTGATTAATGAAGTTGTGGGGTTTACTGAATTAGTAGAAATATAGTTATGTATTCAGAAACGGAATATTATTTTAGGCTAATGTTATTTGGTTAAAAGAATGTTGATTAATGGTTAAAATTTGAGATAAAAATGGGTCATTGATTTGCAGAGCTAGAGATGATAACACGACGGTGAGGGAGGAGGAAATTGTAACAGAAAATGATTTAGAGCATTTGCTAGAGCTGCTTGAAGTCGGAAATGAGACTAGGGAATGGCAATCAATGATGGACAAGACTACTCCAAATATGAGTTACCAGGCTTGGCGACATGAGCCTGAGGTAATTAAAAACTTTTAACTCTTGATTTGTTATCACCTAACGCTAGGAACAAGGCAAGTAATTGAGACGCTTTTGTTTACCAGATTAGTTTTCTTGTTGTTAAATACCGGAAATTTCTTAAGCACTACTAGCTTAAAAGTTAGCTTGTGTCTCTAGCCTGAAAGGTTGTGTTATTTGTCAGACAGGTCCTGTTGTTTATCGTAGTCGAACCGTGTTTGAGGATGCAAGTCCAGATATTGTTAGGGATTTCTTCTGGGATGATGAGTTTCGACCTAAGTGGGATTTCATGCTTGCCAACTTCAAAACTTTGGAGGAGGATACTCACACAGGAACCATGATTGTTCACTGGAGAAAAAAGGTCTCTGGAAGTTATATGATACTTTCTTCTTCTTCTTAACAATCAATCTAAAAGCTATTTTTACATTATTAATTTATTTTGCCTGCAGTTTCCTTTTTTCTGTAGTGACCGAGAGTATATCATTGGTCGGAGGATATGGGAGTCTGGAAACAAGTATTATTGTGTGACAAAGGTAATTTCATGCTTCATCAACTTTTTTGTCAAGTGTGTAGACTACATTACTAGTGAAAAAACATTGGTCAAATAAAAGACAAATCGAACTCATGTTTTGTGTAAACTTCACACTTGGTTGATATTGTAGGGAGTTCCTTATCCAGCTCTACCAAAGCGTGATAAGCCGAGGCGTGTTGAGCTCTATTTCTCAAGTTGGGTTATAAGAGCGGGTAAGCCTTTTGAGTGATTTTTTTTAAGATGGCATGTAAAATTTGAATGTTAAGCAAATTACGAAACAAATGCAGTTGAATCCAGAAAAGGAGATGGACAACCATCGGCTTGTGAAGTATCCCTAGTCCATTACGAAGACATGGGAATCCCAAAAGATGTGGCAAAGTTAGGCGTGCGCCATGGCATGTGGGGAGCTGTCAAGAAGCTACACTCCGGTTTACGAGCTTACCAGACCGCCAGAAAATCAGACTCTACTCTATCCCGGATCGCTCAAATGGCAAGAATCACCACAGTACTGAACATGGATTGTGCAGAATCATCCACAGGAGATGAAGAAGACAGAAGCAGAGCAATGGGGTACGCAAGGAGACAACGGGACCATTTGAGAATGGACTGGAAATGGGTCGTTGTAGGAGGTGTCGCCTTGGCTTGTGGCCTTCACACGGGGGTCATTGGTAAGGCTTTACTGGCCGGAGCTGGCCAGAGACTTGCTCGTAGGTGAAAAATTTCTGTCGTATTCTTATTACTTTCCCTTGATAGAAAAAGAGAAACGTTTACATATAACTAAAGGCAACTCCGATGAGAAAAAGAATGTGGTTCTTCTGATGGTGAACCATGTAGAGTTGTAAGTTTAAGCAATGGAGTCTATTTTGAAACCTATCTTGTTACATAGGATAGTTTTTATAAATGATGTGAATCTACATAGCTATTAATAGATTACAATCTTTGAATGCGACACAATTCACACACCTTTAGCACATCTCTCATTGCATTGATCAACAGAGAGCACACATGAGCTAATGTCAAAACTTCTCTCCTGCATCAACCCACACAACGGTGTATACAAGCACGTGGTCATTACCTCTTATGACGTTCCTCATTCTGCAGATCTTCAAAGGTTGCTTCCGGTGTTGCGGATGATGCAGAATCATCATCAAACTCAGTTTCCAGTTCATCTGAATCCCAGTCTTCATCATCTGAATCAAAATCAACATCAGATAGTGAACCCTTGGCCTGAATCCCACCTTCTTCACCATCCTCTTCCTCCTCTTCGTATGCATCTAAATAGATGTCATCTCCTTCTCCCTACCACACAATGTGAGACCTCAAAAAGTCATAACGGTGAAATTCAAGACAATAAAGTGAGTATAGGGGAAAGACATCATACATCTGTCTCTTCGGTCTCCTCGTCGCTGGAAGAATAAGCCATGTCAAGCTTGTTGTATAACACTTGATCTCCCTTGTCTTTTACAAGTTCCACTTGTTCCTGCCATAATGTATTCAGGGTCTCATGTTAGTTCATTTCAGAACAAAATAAAAAAACTTTTTTGTTGAATCAGCAAATGAAAGACAAGTAGATTCATACGATTTCAGCTCTCAACTGCTCTACTCTCGCCTGTACCACCGCAATGTGTTTTATAATACCCTGTTGGATGATAAGAAACCAAACTAAGTTTTATAATACTCTGATTAATGGCATATGTTTGGAGCATATTTGTATCACGAACCTGGCGTCTTTGGAGCTCAATAGAACGTGCCAAAGCTTTCCTCTTTGTCAAGAGGTTTTTAGGCCTTAACTCGGAAGGACGCTTATAGTCTTTTCCTCTAAACACGATAATGGCATATCCTTTGGAAACCTTGTCTACTGAAACCAGGATACCTCCACTCTCAGCTTCAAGGGCCAATGCCACTTTCTGCGCACCCTCAAAAGTTTTAGCCTTCACTAGAATTTTGATTAGCTCCCTGTATTTCCAGTGCAAGTGCATGTTCTCCACAGTTCCATCAAACACCCCTCTTCGCCCTGAAACAATCAATCCAAAGGTTTCTCAGACGAGACCACATCCCAGATAACACATTAGTCATCAGCCTAAAAATTGACGCAATAAATTTTACCAAGAAGTAAGAAAGCTTTCATCCTCAACCCGAGCTTCTTAAACATAAATCTCTCTTCCTCAGTTATGTCCTCAGTGTCTGCTCTATGCTCTGATGGCTTCAGAGATTCCTCTACTTTAGCTAGTGCCCGTTCAGCTTTCATCAACCTTTTCTCGGCCTAGACGGGGGTATTTGATAAGTAAGAGTCCGATTAGTTCAAAAAACAATCTTGTAAGAGAAACAGTGAAACAGTAAAGGCTCAAGGCAGGAACTCACAAAAGCAAGTTTCCTTTCCAACTTCCTGACAAGATTTGCAGACCTCAGTTTCTCAGCTTCTTGTTTCACTTCTTCCACGTGATCATCGTCATCTAGATTCCTTCCCCACTTACTTGCTGCATCAAGAGTTTCTTCAAGAGTACCGGTAGAAACAAGGTTTTGATCAGCTTTAACACGTGGGACAACCAGACCCGATGATGCTCTTAGACGTGCCTGTTCCTCTTCGTCTTGGAATGTCCTTGCAAGTCTCTCCTTCTCCACCAATGCTTCAGCTACTTCTGGTGACAAAAAACTCTTTCCTCTGTAGAAAACCAAGGAGTCTTTGTTCCTAGAGAGCAGCATACCTCCCGTCAATCTCTGCAGTCACCCAGATCACGATATATAATGACATCTATAAATGCATGTAACTCAGCTGTGAAACTTCATTACCTTGATGTCATCAGCCATTCTCTCACTGGTAGTCAATTGTACACCACGTTTAAGGGCAACCTTAGCAATCAAACTCTTCTCCCATAACTTAACCATGGCTGTTGCCAAGCCTTGCAGCTGTCTACTTCGACCTATAGATCCAAAACAAAATTCCACTCTTCAAAGACCTTATCAGGCTCTACAAAAAAGTCACAAAGGAAGATCCAATACCTAAAGCAAAGTGTGGAGGAAGAACTTTGCCAAGTCTCCTTAAAGAAGTAGCCTCCTTTTGTCCCAGAGTTGATCTGACTCCATAAGGAAGAACCCTGAAAGGGGGTTCGTAACCAGGAACGACCCCTGGAAGCAAATCAGCATCAACCGGTAATGGATAACCTCCCTGCCAGTCTGTGTATCGAGGACCAAGACCCTCTAACAATTCATTTATTTCATCTTCATATTCTACTTCTTGATGAAATGTCCTGTCTTCATTTCCAACATTTGTTGCCTCTTCCTCTAGCTGAGGATGATGCACTTGTTCAATTCTATGATCCACTCTACTTGTACGTAAGGAAGAGAGTGATGTCTCTGCTCTTCTATATATTTGCTTGTTCATTTGCACTGATGCATCCCTGTAAGTGTCACTTTTGTATTTGTACAAGGCTATGGAAGTCCCTGATCTCCAAATCACTAAACCACCAGTTTTTCTCTGTCACATTGAAGAAGAAAATACATTATGAAAGAATAATATTCAACTCCAACTATCTAAGGAGTATAATGCAAAACTAAATACCTCCAGAATCTCATGCATCCGTCTCATGTTGAGCGCATTAGTACCTTCGATCTTGAGTCTAACAATCTCTGAGCTCTTCCACTTCTCCTGAATAGCATCAACCACAGCCTGAGTAACACCTGCACCCTTAACTCTCATCTTGCTCTTAGTTCTAAACATCACATTCCTCAACCGATTCAGCTCCGCTTGCGGAAGAGTCATCTCTGCTAACGAGTATCTACTCTCCTTCTTCGCTGTCCACACTCCATTCACTAGCTCCTCCTCCTCCTCCTCCTTCTTCTTCTCCTTAGAACTTACTTTCTCCCAAGGAAACTTAACTTCTCCGTTACCACCTCCATAAACACCAAACGGTGTCGTCTCCTCCGAGAATTTACCACCTACTCTCACATTCTCTTCTTCCTCCACAAACCTTCTCTCTTTCTCTTGTTCCTCCACAAATCCAATCTTTTTCAGTTTCTCCACAATCCTCTCCATTGTACTACCCTTCTCATTATTATTACTCTTTACGCTTAAATCTAAAAATCTATCTCCTTTCTGTGTTCTGTTCCAATGCTCATCCCTGCTACCATTACACGATAATCTTTTGACCTTCTTCATAGAAGAGAAACCGAGTCTCCTTACATCACCGTTACGGGACCAGAGTGAAATTGATGAGCTGTACCTTAAGAATCGGAGGGAAGTGCTTCCGACCGAAGTAGTTGTCGTCGTGGTGACGGCTGTTGGGTAAAAATGGGGACTTGAATTCATCGACATCTCTGACACAAGTTACTCTCAGTTGGGTACTCACAGATATACAAAAAGACTTTAACTTTGATCAAAAGGTTTCAGCTTTTTTTTGCCCGCTTCGGCTACGAGACGAAGCTCGAACACGATGTTATCCATGGCGGGGAAAGATGGTTATAGATATCTAGAGGCTTGTTTGGACACGTGGTCTTTTGTATCCAGGCCAAGTACAAACCTGCCCGACGGATGGATGTTTGGTTTTATTTTTTCTTTATAAATAAATATTTATTTTGTATGCCAGGATATATATATTTCAATATTTTATCATACTTAATAATTATTTATATAATTTTTAAACATAATAATTTTATAATTTATCTTGACTAATTTTATTTTTGAACCATCAACTTTATTATTTGTAATTTTTTTAGAATCTAATTTGTATGTATACAAATATATTTTTTATGTTATCAAAAATTTTATGTGTGGTAAAAGTATCGTATATATCATCTAAAATTTAGTGCTATATATTTTGTATTTTTCAATATTTCTCATATTGATCATTTGACTATTACTTATATGAAAACATATTTATGTAATTACTTATATGAAAACATATTTAATTATATTTAATATTTGACATAATTAGAATTTGAATCAAACCATTTATTTCGGATTGTATTCGGTTCAAATTTTGGTTAATATGTCCAAATATACACAAAAACAAGTCTAAAGAGTTAGACACATTAATAAATTAAATTGTTATACACGTTTAAAATAATTTATTGTGTAAAAGATAACTTAAAAAGCTTAACTATGTTATCTATTGATTTGATTACAAAATTTATTAATATTTTTATACCAAGAGATGGAAAAAAAAACTTAGAAGAGATATTAAACTTGGTGCAAGGAATACCATCAAATGTGAATCTCATAGAACTATTAGAACGCTGTCGCATTGAAAATGAAAATTGAAAATCGTCTATGATATTTCATATATTTTGTAATATTAGACTGTAGATGTAGAAATTTTACTGTAGAATTTATACTGTAGATTTTTTTTGATGTAGTTGTATCTAATGTAGCTGTAGAAATTAAATGAGAAAAAATAAAAAAGGAAAAATATTCCTACAGCAATTCTACATCAATATTTTTTTGCTTTGGAAAATAGGATACTTACAGCCATTTTTTTAAAAAAAATTGACTTTAGATTTAAAAACTACTTAAAGCTGAAAATTAAAGCTAAAGTCGCTACTTACAACCCAACCAATCACTCTCAATGATGTCTCAGATATATATTTAAAATTTATAAAGCATTCCCAATGCTGAATCTGAAAGAATACTTTAGTTTTTTAAAGGTAAAATAGAAGCAGAAGCAATCTCTTAGACATCTTCCGACAAATCTATGGTGCTAAATGTATAATTATGGTTGGTTAGAAATTCATTACCTAAATTTGTAGTATTATATAATCAAATTATATTAAAAGACTCTGTAAAATGTCTACAGATAAAAGAAAGGAAAAAAAAATTTTAGCTACACGAAGTCTACACTAATATGGTCGAAACCATCCCATGTATAAAAATGTGTCAAGAACTACACGATGTATATGTTAATACATGCCACATGTACGAAGTAAATGATATTATGGTGGCAACATCACAATCAGATTTAATTTTCTTAAGCTAAGTTAATGGGGTTAATCCGTAATTTATGAAACTTAATAAACTTAATTGATTTTAATTATTAAAGTTAATAAAACTAATAATAATAAACATAATATATCAAAAACTTAATAAAATTAATAAACTTAATAAACTTAATATTTTTTTGTTAAGCTTAATAAATTTATTAAACTTAATAAATTTTTTAAACTTAATAAATTTATTAAACTTAATAAATTTATTAAACTTCATAAACTTAATAAACTTAACAAACTTAATAGCTTATAAACTTAATAAGTTATTAAACTTAATATACTTAACAAACTTAATAAAGTTAATGTTTATTAAGTTTAATACATCTTATTAAGTTTAATAAATGTTATTAAGTTTATAAAGTTTATTAAGTTTTTTAAAATTATTATGTTTAATAAGCTAGAATCCTAAAACTAATAAACAAAATAATTTAATAAAATTATTGTTTAATAAGTTTAATAATTTAATAAATTTATTAAATTATTATGTTTACTAAGTTTGCTAAGTATATTAAATTTAATAACTTATTAAGTTTATAAGTTATTAAGTTTGTTAAGTTTATTAAGTTTTTTAAGTTTAATAATTTTATTAATTTTAATAATTTATTAAGTTTAATAATTTTTTAAGTTTTTTTAAAAAATATTATGCTTATTATGTTTAATAATTTATTTATTTAATAATTTTATTAAGTTTAATAATTTATTAAGTTTAACAAAAAATAAACATAATATTTTTTAAAAAAACTTTAAAAAAATATTAAACTTAATAAAATTATAAAACTTCATAAACTTAATAAACTTAACAAAATTAATAACTTATAAACTTAATAAGTTATTAAGTTTGTTAAGTTTATTAAGTTTATGAAGTTTAATAATTTTATTAAGTTTAATAAATTTATTAAGTTTAACAAAAAAATATTAAGTTTATTAATTTTATTAAGTTTTAAACAATATTATGTTTATTAAGTTTATTAATTTTATTAACTTTAATAATTAAAATCAATTAAGTTTATTAAGTTTCATAAATTATGGATTGACCTCATTAACTTAGCTTAAGAATAATTAAATTCGATTGTTATGTTGCCACCATAATATCATTTACTTCGTACATGTGACATGTATTAATATATACTTCGTGTAGTTCCTTATTTTTTTTGTTTCTTTACTCTCACGTGTCACCAAATTACTTGCTTCCCCAATTTGAGATTTGACTTCTGCTCTTGCCCTCTCCATCTTCCGCCAAAGTTTCACTCTTTCACGCACTCAACCTTCGTAAGCTCTCTTCCTCTTCTTTCTTCTCCATTCCTCTCTCAATCCTGTCTTTTGCTTTCATAGGTAACCAAAGTTTCATTCTTTCAACGGTTTCCTTATGTTCTGTCCAAACAGATTTGAAGCAAAATGAATGTTTTTTTTTCTTTTTCTTTTTGCAATGATTAGTGATTTATGGGTTGACTTTTGTTGCAGTTACAAAGCTTGTTGTAGCCATGGGTTCTACTGATGAAGAAGAGTATGCCACCCAGTCAAAGTTACTTAAAGACTTCACGAGTATTCCCAACATTGACAAAGCTTGGATCTTCAACTCTGGTTCTGGTAATGAAATCTTAACATGTATCCAAATTTGTGAGCTTTTAGACTCAACATTTTTGAAATAGTCTTTTGTTTTGTTTCAGGTTCTCAAGCAATGGTTGCTATGAGTCAAGCAAACCTTTTGGCTAATAAAAAGAGGACCTTTATGATATCTGGTCACATCCAGAAAGAAAGTAACCAATCTGTAGACATTCACTGGGCCCCATTTCCCATCGAGATGACTGGCGCATCGGCTTTTGTCCCGTCTCCCTCTGGTCTGAAGCTCCTTGTGATCAGAAACCCGGAGAAAGAATCTCCTACAAAGTTTGAGATATGGAGTTCGTTTTTAGAGAAGGAGTTTCATATCCCACATAAAGTTCATGGCTCTGTATACGTTGATGGATGGTAGTTAATATAATATAAAACCACACTCTTGTTTTAAAGACATGTTTATTTGGAGAAGTAGAAAAATCTTGTATGATGCAGGTTTGAAGGAATCTCTTGGAACTCAGATGAGACTCTTGTTGCTTATGTAGCTGAGGAACCGTCTCGTACCAAGCCTACATTTGACCATCTTGGTTGTTACAAGAGACCAAATTCTTTGGACAAGGAGATTGGTAGCTGGAAAGGTCAAGGAGATTGGGAAGAGGGATGGGGAGAAGCATATGCGGGGAAAAAGCAGCCTGCGTTGTTTGTTATCAATGTTGACAGGTTTTTCATCAATCTCTCCATAAGAAATGACAGAATGTTCTTTACATTTTCTGATCATTTGTCTCTCTCTCTCTATCTTTTCGGATAACAGTGGAGAAGTTGAGCATATCAAAGGAGTTCCAAGATCGCTGAGTGTTGGACAGGTTGTGTGGAGTCCGAACAGTAAAGATTCAGCACAGTACTTAGTTTTTGTGGGATGGTTAGGAGATAAAAGAAAGTTTGGTATCATGTACTGCCGTGGCAGACCATGTGCCATATACGCAATTAGATTCAAAGAAACAAAGTGAGTGGTTTGCTTTTATAACTCACTAGAATGCAACTTGGTGACTGTTTTTGCTTGTGTTCCAGGGATGATGCTAATGAAGTATTCCCTATTCATAATTTGACTAAGAGCATAAGCAGCGGTTTTTCCCCACGGTTCAGGTCTGCATCTTATGATATTCTTTCCTTGTTATATCTTAGCTGTGTTGATGTGCAATCTTCTTTATATCCTTGTGTCACAGCAAAGATGGAAAGTTTCTTATGTTTTTATCCGCAAAGACCGCTGTTGATATTGGGGCCCACTGGGTAGCCGAGTCACTTCACAAGGTTAACTGGCCAAGTGATGGGAAACTTACTGAGTCAACAGATATCATTGATGTGGTAAAACTAAAGTACTTTGTGTCTCCCTATAGAGGCTTCAAACTTTTTTTTTGATTCTGAACAAATTATAAATCATTCTACACAAAAAGTATATATCTTCAGAATGGTAATCAAACTAAAATCTCTTACTGGTTTTTTTATTCTATTCAAGTGTGTCTTTTAATTGCAGATTCAAGTTGTGAATTGTCCTGATGATGGTTGTTTCCCTGGACTCTATGCTTCCAGCCTTTTGAGTGATCCGTGGCTGTCAGATGGACATACTCTTATGTTGTCTACTTACTGGCGCAGTTGTAGAGTAATACTCAGCGTAAATATGCTAAGGTGACTGATGAAAGTATATTAAAAGTTTCCATATTATCTGCTTTCTTCTGCTCTAACTGGTGATAAAAAATAAATTTATCTTGGGGAATTACAGTGGAGAACTGTCACGTGTCAGCCCAAATAATTCAGATCATTCATGGAGCGTTCTTACACTAGATGGTGATGATATAGTTGCCGGTAACATCTCTTAATCTCAGTTATTAATCACGTTAAACTTAAATCACACATTGTGTTTTCTTTTCCTTATTTTTTGAGTAGTGTCTAGCAGTCCAGTGAGTGTTCCTGAAATTAAGTATGGAAAGAAAGTTCTTGATCAAGCTGGGAAGTCTTCATGGCAGTGGTCCAATATCCAAAAACCAATATTTAAATGCTCTGAGAAGGTAAATCATCTTGATACAAATGATTTTAAGCTTTTTAATGTATTCATATATTCTGTTTCATATTACATACTTCGACAGGTTGCGTCAGGGCTTTCATCTCTTCAGTTTAAAATTCTGAAAGTTCCAGTCAGTAATGTTTCCGAATGTCTTACCGAAGGTACTTACAAGTTGTGTTGTTTTTGGTTGATGTAAAATATTTCTGATTTTATTTCCATATAACACATGGGCAGGGGCCAAAAAACCTATTGAAGCTATATATGTATCATCTTCAAAGTCTAAAGAGGATGGGAAATGTGATCCACTAGTTGTTGTTATCCATGGAGGCCCTCACTCAATTGCATCATGCAGCTTCTCCAAGACTTTGGCTTATCTCTCCTCAATTGGATACAGTCTGCTGAACGTTAATTACAGGTTCACATACAGCTCTATTTTCCCACTAGTTCATCAACAACCTTCTGGATTTTTGCTAACTTTGTTTTTTGGTGATTCATTTTGAACTGAAAGGGGTTCAGTGGGGTTTGGGAAAGATGCTTTGCAGTCTCTATCTGGAAAAGTTGGATCACAGGACGTGAACGATATGCTCTCAGCAGTAGATCTTGCCATTGAAATGGGACTTGCAGACCCGTCTAGAATAACCCTGCTAGGTGGTTCTCATGGTGGGTTTCTAGCCACACACTTGATTGGTCAGGTAATGTAAACTCACTCACCTTTTGAAGTAATGGCACTGGAATATGAATCAGTCATCCTTAAACCAAAGTTTTTGCTATAGGCGCCAGATAAATTTGCGGCAGCAGCTGTAAGGAATCCTGTATGCAACATTGCATCACTGGTTGGGATTACAGATACACCTGATTGGTGTTTCTTTCAAGCCTATGGTGACAATAATCACTATACAGAAGCCCCCTCACCTGAAGATATGTCTCGGTTTCATCAAGTGTCTCCTATATCACACATCTCAAAGGTTAAACAAAACACACTACTTCCGTTCTTTGATAAGTTTGAAGACACTTAGTTATGATTCTTGTTTTTATGTTTTTACTTTCTGTAGGTGAAAACACCCACTTTGTTTATCTTGGGAACTATGGATCTCCGTGTTCCCATTTCAAACGGGTTTCAAGTAAGATACACTCTGAAACTTGTTCATGTTGGTCATTGGTAATGCTGTAATTAACCTAAATATTCTTGATTTGCTTAGTACATGAGGGCGTTAAAGGAGAAAGGAGTTGAGGTTAAAACTCTTGTTTTTCCCAATGACAATCATCCCCTAGACAGGTAAACACACAAAAGCTGTCATTGTCTTATTGTTCATCATAGCTAAAGTAAGCATCTCTGTGGGGAAGTTTTGAGTTTTAAAGCATGTTTTGGGCATCTTGTGATTGTTTATTATGCAGACCGCAAACGGATTTTGAAAGCTTTCTCAACATTGCTGTCTGGTTCAACAAGTACTGCAAGCTGTGACGACCTGTTTTTCTTTTTCGCATTTTATGTGAAAATAAAAGTTAATTTTGAAATAAAAGAAAATTGTTGTTCGATTGTTTGCAACATATACGCTACTTCCGCTTTAAACTTTAGAGCGAGGGTACTTTCATAAACTTTATATATTGAGAACTCCTACTAGATACAGTACTTCCATTCGGAGTGTTCTTAGTAATAACATTTACTGATTTACATTTTGTCTATTTTTAAATTTTCAAAACATTTTATGTTGAAAGGGGTGAAGACATATTTATAACAAAAAAAATATATATATGGTCATTTAGTTAATTATAGTTGGTTATAGTCATTTAGTTAATTAATTATGTTGTGTGTAAGAGAATGACAAAGTGGTAATTAATTATGTTGTGTGTATTCTAGCCATTTGCTTACTATGGTCATTTAGTTAATTATAGTTGGTTATAGTTCAATTTTCCAAAGAAAGTAAGAAGAGACTTTACTGATCTTCTTCCTTTTTGAACTACAAATTGACTTATCTATTTTACAAAACTGAACCTTGAAAGTGAAGCCAAGTCATGTTTGGACATTTTTAGACACGTCACTGTAAGGTGGCTTCATTGTGCCATGCAAACACAATCTCCTCAAGCTCTACAACTATCTCCGACCAATAAGACTCATCCTCCTCCTCCTCCACACCTTCCACCACCTTCATCTCCGCCACAACCAAACCTTCCACCAGCTCCACCGCCTCAACCATCACCATCATTCTTCCTTTACTCAATCCCACAACCCTCGCCTCACTTTTCTCATCAACTCTAAACCCTAACTTCTCCCCTACCGTCTTCACCTTCTCCACCACTCCTTCCACCGAAACCCTAGCCGTAAACCTCGTCCTCTTCCTCTCCCTCCTCTCAAACAGCCCCGATAGGTCCCATGCAGACGACAAAGAGATCAAATCAAACGCTGTGATAGTATCACTTCTCATCCTCCCCAATCTCTCATCCGAATCCAACACACTGGATCCAAACTCGGACACTTCTAGTCCTTTTTTAAACCATTTGGTTTCACTTACATCTTCAATACTCATCCTCGTTGCTGGATTCGGATCCAGCAACCGGTAGATAATAAACCGAGCTTGTTTAGAGAACCATCTCGGGAACTTATAGTCTCTCCCTTGCATCTTCCTATACATTATCACAAAATGTGAATCATCAAAAGGAGTGTAACCCGCGAGAAGAAAAAAAAGTAAGACGCCACAAGACCACGAATCAGCCTTCACTCCGTCGTAATCTCTCTGAGCAATCACCTCTGGAGCTGTGTAAGCCGGCGTGCCGCAAGCTGTGTGGAGCATTCCGTTGCTGGTACGATTCTCCGGTAAAGCGGATAAACCAAAGTCCGAGACCTTGAGGTTTCCCTCCTTGTCGAGGAGGAGATTCTCAGGCTTCACGTCGCGGTGAGATATTCCTTCTCTATGGCAGAAGGTTAGCGCGGAGGCGAGCTGCTGGAAATAGCAGCGCGCCTCCGGCTCCTGGAGGCGGCCGGAGCGGAGGATCTTAGTGAAGATCTCTCCGCCCGCAGCGAGCTCCATGACGAGGTAGATTTTTGTTTTAGTGGCCATGACTTCGTGGATTTTGAGGATGTTTGGGTGGTGGTGTAAGCGACGCATGGCTTCGATTTCGCGGATTATTCTCGGTTCCATGCCGGCCTTGGCGGTTCTCTTCTTGTCGATGGTTTTGATGGCTACAAGTTGGTTGGTTTCGATGGAGCGAGCCACGTGGACTTTGGCGAAGCTACCGCTGCCGAGAAGGCGACCGAGTTCGTATTTATCGAGGAGAATCGTTGTAGGGGGGTTAGCTGGTGGTTGTGGAGTTGGGAAGTCCATATGCTGTGACGATGGTTGCCGTGGAAGTGGTGACGCAGGGGACATGAAGTTTTATTTCGGGGACGTTTAATAAGTGACTGTATTTTCAGTTTCTGTCTTTATAGGAAAGAGTGAGCTTTTGTGAGTGTGATAGTGGTGAGAAATGTGTGATGGTTTATTGAATTTTTTTTTAAAAAATTATGTGATGGTTTATTGATAATACTGGTATTTTTTTTTTTTAAATAGCCTTTTATGAAAATGGTATATTGAGATTAAAATATATATATATATATATATTAAAAATTTCAGAAAAGAATATGGCCAAAATCTTTTGTCAAAAATAAATATATATGGCCAAAATATTTCAATTTGCACCATTTATTGTATTTTTTTCTCGGAACTGCATGCTATTTTCTTTAAATATAAGCATATTTCTAAAACGTTAAGAATTTCTTGGGGACCATTAAAATACGGGAAAATGAAAATTTTTCAAACTTTATCTAAAATTGTCTGAAAAGATTACCGTTGAAATTCAGTGTTTATACATCACGCATGAAGCAAAAAAAAAAATTTTTGCATTTGAAATGGATTTTGATGGGAAATGTCCATTAATTGTAGAAGTCGACAAGTATAAGAGTTAACAAATAACAGCCATAATTGGACGTTCTTTTCTGTAATACGTTACTATATACAATTCCGTAATAGTCTGTTTTGACAGCTGCGTATAGGACTAACGGAATGATGATAATTTAACATGTACTGCATTAGCTTAAAAGTTTTTAAATCATTAATTAAAAACCGCATAAAGAATTTCTCCAAAATTTGATTATGTTTTTTCTTCACCTGTTAAATTCAGGTAGTTTCAGTTTGTATAATCATCTTAGCCAAATTACATAAAATTCATGCCCACATAAACTATCATTTAGGACTTGATTAACAGGGCATTAGTTTAAGCTTATGTTCCTAATTATTCGTATAGATATTCATCATAGGAGAAGAGTTTGTGAAATCAGAAGAAAAACTATAGAAAATCTTATTTTGATGAAGAAGAATAGTTTAATCGATTTTTTTTTCTTTTTTTTTGACAAGAAAATCACAGATACACATTTTAGGAAAATAATAAGATTTTGAAATATTTGGGGAAGAGGAAGTATAAGAACGAGAGCTAAGAAAATTATATTTCCTTTGTTCTAATTATACATGATCCAATATTGTATGGATAGGTTTTAAATGCAAACCAAGGCATAATAAAGTTCAGATGAGTAAAAGACATCGTTTTACAACACTATTTGTTTAGTACTCTTCTCCCTAAGCCAGAGTATTTGCTTTTTCTTCTATAGTTCTTCCTTTGGCCACTTTTAAAGGGATCCACGAGCACCTTCCTTTGCCTTGGTGATGTCTTCTTCTTCTTTAAGAACTCCCAAGGGAACTCTCAGCTTATCAGATAACCCGAACCAGGACCACACGCTGCTGATGAATGGAAAATCTCTGGTGATCAATGGAAGTCCTCCGGTCGTAGGAAAGGCAGTAAGGCTATCTCGTACGCATAAGAGCATGTTGTAGCAGTCCACACCTAATTTGTTGATGAGATGGGTCATATATATAAGGATTCATGTCTCCTGAGATGTAAATAATATTGGCAGGAACAGGATTATCAATCGCCCAGTCCATGATATCGACAAAAAATTCTCAAATAGATCATCTCCTTCCTGGAAGCGAGTGATCACCAGATTCTCTACGGGGGGCTTTTCATCGATAAAGCAAGGACTTGTGCTATCATAAACCATGTATTTAACCGTACTATTAAAGGAACTTTCATATAGGCATTGTTTAATGTTGTGCAGTACACGAATAAAATGTAAGTCATCAGGGACTGGGCAACCATTAGTGTCCCAAAACACGGCTGTCCGAACATCTGCGAGGATAAGCAAAACGGACAAAGTATAATCAGATCATTATAACGATTAAGCAAAACGGACAAAGCATAACTATTTTGAGAAGGAAGAAGCAATAGATCTTACTGACGAAGTTGAAGGGAGTCATGGTTGGTTTTCAAGGATTGATGAGAGAATTGGAAGTTAGATATGTGAATTCGGCGGATGGTTTTGAGGGAGGACGGCCCAGTGGTTTTCAGGGAGCTTCAGCCCTAATACGAACCCGGAAACCGTTGGCCACTAGAGATAAAATTTAAAAACCGGTTCCCCAGTCTTTGGTGACCGAGGCGTACTCCGGCCGACAACGTAAGCTGATACGGACACTTACCGCTAGTCTGTACCCACCTTTGTGGAAGCTAAGATACACCGGATTATTCAAAAAAAAAAAACTCGGCGAATGAGAGGTCATCTGTAGATAGGGTTGCCTTTTAGAGCTGCATAGGGTTTTTAGTTATATTGTACTTGCTTAAAAAAGAAAAATAAAAGTTAAACCTTTGGCATGTTTCTATTTACCATTACGGTACTACCATTTTTTTTCTTTTTTTCTGTCAGACGATTAGAGCAATGACATCGGCGTCCTTGATTTGGTCCTTAAGGGGAGGGAACCCACAAAAACACCAAAACCGAGAGAATAATTCGTTAAATAAGAAACGTTTTGATTTGGTCCTTGTGTTTTTTGCGGGCTCCACTAACACAAAAAAAAAAATTAAGAAACCTTACTAATAATGTTGCTCTTTCAGTATTACCAAACATAAATAAATATATATAGAGCGGTGTCCGTGCGGGTAACATGTGGATTTTTCTTGAAAATACTTTCATGGAGTGTTTTTACTTTTTTTTATACAAAAAATATAATTATTATTAATAAACCTGAAAAAGAGATAAAAATCCGATTACAAACCAACTAATACAAAATTACACATTTTAAAATCTCATATTTAATTTCGCTCTGACAAGTTCCGTTAGATCAAATCTAATATCGTTATGTATTGAATACCGTTTTGTCAAGTGTTGTTTTGTTATAAATTTTTTATGTAGTAATTGTATTTCCTTATCATCATTATCATCTAAGTTGCACAAAATTGATACATAAAAACACAAGAACCTTTTTTAAAAAATTGCACAATCAGAGTCTTAATAATAATTTTAAATGGATACAAGTGTTTATGGTTAGAAGAATTTGAAAGAAGGGACAACATTAGACAAATAGCTTTTCATTGGATTTAAGATAAAGTTAATGTATAATTTACAACATTATATAAATGATCAAAACAAGAGAATTTCTTTATATTTTTTTTCACTATATATCCGTTAGCTGAAAGTGAATCATGCTTGAGAAGACCATTGTACATCCTATAAAGAAATCTTTGAGAAATATGGTAGTGTTTTAAAGTTTAGCAGACTTCTTTGAGAAGTCTTTTAACCTTAAATTTGAAGATTTCATCATTAAGTTTACTACTACATAATTCTTACAAACTTTATGATAAAGTTTTCTAATTTGCATATTCTAATTTGCAAACAAAATTTCATTGAAAAATTTATCTTTTCGCTTAAATAGTCATTGAAATTTTTAATTAGGTTTAAAATTTTGTTTAGTCTCATAATCCTAAGTTTACCCATACGTTCCAGAAGATTTCTAAAGAAATTTGATAAAGCATAACTTTTTAACAGATTTCTTAAGAAGTCTTCTTAACAAATCTCTCTATATCCTAAAATCAAATAGTTTAAATAAATGACAATAAACACTTTAGTAAACATAAAATCATCTTATAAAAGTTTAATATACACAACACTAAACCCTTATATGTAAAATTTTTGAAATAAAAAAATACTGAGTATTTCAATATATATTTCTAAAAATACAAACACTAGTTCATGAACATATGTTACCAAACTCTAAGTAATGGATAATCATGAATTACAATCTATATTCACTCATACATGTGAAAACAATCTGTTTTATAAAATTTAATTTACATGATTTAAAATAATTTATATTTATATGATTTTATTTTATTTTCAATCATATTTTTTTCGAAATTTATGAATTAAATTTAATATCACATATACGTAATATTTCAATTTACGAAATGGTTCAAGTTCATATACATAATATTTCAGTTTCACATTTATTATTTTATATTAATAATTTTTAATTTTAGTTTTAACATATTTATATATAATAATGTACCAGTAATAATATATATCAGAAAACAGTTATGAATATTAAAGTGATAGAAAAATTAATTAATATTATTATAACTATATGTAAATTACCTAATTATAGAGAATAAAATGAAAGTTAAATAGTATCTTAAGCTTTTGAATAATGAAACTTTAAATTTGAAAGTTTGAATGCTAATTAGAAAGCCAAATACATGGAAATTTAATGGTTTGGAAGCTCTTATAATTAACTAATCTTTAATGCATTACACCAAATTGTATTTTACATAATTGAATTTTGGAAGTTAAGCTAAGTTGGTGAGCAAAAAAAAAAAAGTTAAGCTAAGTCACTTTCAACTTTTACACATACGTCACTATGCCATGAAAGCACAATCTCCTCAAACTCTAAAATTAGCTCCGACCAATAAGATTCCTCCTCTTCCTCTTCACCTTCCACCACCTTCATCTCCGCCACAACCAAACCTTCCACCAGCTCCACCGCCTCAACCATCACCATCACTCTTCCTTTTCCCATCCCCACAACCCTCGCCTCCTTCTTCTTCTCCACTCTATACCCCAACTTCTCCCCTACAGTCTTCGCCTTCTCCACCACTCTTTCCGCCGAAACCTTCGCCGTAAACCTCGTCTCCTTCCTCTTCCTCCTCTCGAAAAGCCCCGAGAGATCCAACCCCGCTGATAACGAGATCAAATCAAACGCTGTAATAGTATCACTTCTCATCTTCCCCAATCTATCATCCCGCTCGAATACGCTGGACTGGAACTTGACCGTTTCTTGGCCTTTCTTGAACCATTTGGTCTCAGTTACATCTTCGATACTCATCCTAGTCTCCGGATTCGGGTCGAGCAACTTGTAGATAATAGATCGTACCGGTTTCGAGATCCAGCTCGGGAACTTGTAGTCCCTCCGCTGGATCTTCCTATACATGGTGACAACATTTGAATCCTCAAAAGGAACGTAACCCGCGAGAATAACAAAGAGGAAGACACCACAAGACCACGAATCCGCCTTCCCGCCATCATACGATTTCTGAGCGATCACCTCTGGAGCCGTGTAAGCCGGCGTGCCGCACGACGTGTGGAGCAACCCGGTGTTGCTCCGGTGCTCGGGGAGAGCTGATAACCCGAAGTCCGAGACCTTGAGGTTTCCTTGCTTATCGAGGAGGAGATTCTGCGGCTTCACGTCGCGGTGAGCGATCCCCTCTCGGTGGCAGAAGGTTAGCGCGGAGGCTAGCTGCTGGAAGTAGCTACGCGCGGATGATTCGTGGAGGCGGCCGGAACGGTGGAGTTTGGTGAAAAGCTCCCCGCCCGCAGCGAGCTCCATGACGAGATAGATTTTGGTTTTGGTTGCCATGACTTCGTGGATTTTGAGGATGTTTGGATGGTGGTGTAAGCGACGCATGGCTTCGATTTCGCGGATGATCCTCGGTTCCATACCCGCATCCGCGGTTTTCTTCTTGTCGATGATTTTAACGGCTACCAGTTCGTTGGTTTCGATGGAACGAGCCACGTGGACTTTGGCGAAGCTACCACTGCCTAATCGGCGACCAAGTTCGTATTTACCGAGCAGAGTGGTCGCTGGGGCTTTTTCTGGTGATGGTGGAGATGGAAAGCCCATAGCTGGTGATGGTGGCGGAGGGGGCAGGAGATTTTTTTTTTTCTGTTGAAGAGGTTTGAGATGTGAGATTATGGTGACTGTGTCTTACTGCTTTTATGGGGAAAGGAAAGAAATCTCCATTGACTGCATTTTGTGATTTTGTGATGTTTTGTAAAGACGTTTATATATTGTTTATAATAATTAACTTTTGACTATTTTTAAGGGAAAAATGCGTGCAATAATTGTTTTTAGAGTATAATTCACTACGTCCAAAAAAAAAAGAGTATAATTCACTCAATACACATAACGACACAATTAGTATGATATCTTATATATTACTAACATTTTGGACAAAAATGCCTATGTATATTTAGGAAGCAAGGAACTATAGTTTTCTTTCTTTCTCTTTTTATTTGTTTATATATCATTGTAATAAAATTGTCAGTCCAAGTCTATTTATTTTATTTCAATCTTTTTCACCATAGTTATTATATATATATATATATATATATATATATATATATATATCAATATTTCACATATACCATATCTTACTTTTATAGAACAGATATATATTTCTCAAAAATATGTTTTTTTTGAAGAAAAGTATTTTATTATATTTTATCATTTCTATAGAATAAAATACCTTGCTAAATAATAAATAGAGCTTTCAAATCTATTATATATTAAGAATTAATATAGCATAGTTCAATTTCATCTTAAAAAACCAACATATTTAAACATGTAGATTAGAGAAACTCACAAAATACATTTGAGAATTATGTCCCAGGACTCAAATAGTTTGAGTAGATAACAATAAACACTTCAGTAAATATAAAATCACCTTATAAAGTTTAATATATATTATACTAAACCTTTATATATCAAGTTTTTGGAGTTAAAATATTGAGTATTTCAATATATACATCTTAAAAAGTCTCTCTAAACCCGGGAATCAAATAATTTCACGTGGTCTTATGTGGACATGCCCGATATAGACATAAAATAATCATGCACAAAATGCAAGTCAACCCTCAATCAACCAGTAAAGCAGAAAAGAATGAAATTCTTCACAGAGTAGTACATTATTATCAAAACTATATAAGAAAAATGTTGGATGCCGAATTTGTAAAAGAAGTATAATGTCCGAAATGGTTTACAAACGTTATCGTGATACAACAGATAAATGGCAAATGGCAAGTCTGCATATACTTCACTGACCTCAACATTTACTTTCCAAAAGATCTATTTTCCCTACCTCATGTCAATAAGCTAGTTGAAGCACCAACATGGCACTAGATGGTGAGATTTATGGATGTCTTCTCCGGGTATGACCAAATATTCATGTATCAATATCACAAGGAGACAACATTTTTCATGACATCAAAAGACATCTACTGATACAAGATTATGCCTTCCGGCCTGAAGAATGTCAGCTCCACCTATCAGAGACTGGTAAATATGATATTTGTAGAACATATCAGCCATACCATGAAAATCTATATAGATAATATGCTCATCAAATTGCTGGAAGCATAAGAACATATAGCCCACCTACATAAGGTATTCTCAACCCTAAGGAAATACATGATCCCACATGGCTTCATGCCATAACAACCTAAGAGATCATGGTTTCTCCTAGGCCTTCGCAATGAGGAATCTCATACCGAACTTTCTTACAATCCAGCCAAAACAATCTAAAAACCTCAGGTCAGGACAATCCAAAAACTTCTAAAAAATGACGCTCTGTTCACACCACCCATAAACCTATAGTGAAGGTATGATTTCGGTCAACTGTAAAGCACCTGATGTCTTCCGACTTCACTAATGAAATCGGAAGATACAATGTAAAATATTGGGGATAATTAATTTCGGAAGCAAATCATACTACTTAGAGCAGGATGCCGACTTAAACAACTTATGGTCTCCTAGTCACATACTCTTCTTCCCTCCGTAAAATGGGAAATTTCTATTAGCAAAAGAAGATCTTTCAATATTTTAGTATATGGAAATATTTAATCTTGATTTCAACTTAAAGGACCTATAGAAGAGATTTTTAAATTCTAGAAAAGGGAGATCAACGATTATTCACTTTGACTATCACAAAAAAAAAAAGAAAAATTTGTATTAGGTATTAATATATAATTGTTAAAAAAATTATTTGCTCACATTATTGTTTCAAGTATATTTTATGTTATGAGTCATGAAGATACTTGAATATAGCAACACTAGTATATTTTATGTTATGAGCCATGACGACACTGAAATATAGTAGCATAATAGTAGTTTTAAATTATTTTTCGCTAATCCCCACGTGAATATATACTTTCACAAAACTGTATTGTATATAGTTTATTAAACTATGTAGTTTGATCATATTTTTCCCTTGTCAAACCGATATAGTTTTATAGTATGATAGAAAATTAGCTAGTGATCATGTAAAAAAATAATCAATCTATCCATGTCACTAAGTAAAAACACTATTATTAAGAAAGTTGTTACTCTTTTAAAAAAAATGATCACTTAATTAATTAATTCAACTAATTATAAAAATTTAACATTATTTAAACAATCACATAGCATTGAACTATGAAAACTTATTATTGCATTATGAAAGTTTTTTTTTCTTTAAAACTATATGATATATAAAAAAAAAAGAGGGAGAGTATTATTATCAACGTCTAGACGTCTAGTTTTACACGAGTCATGAAATTCAACAGTTTTATTCGAAAGAATGTTAGTGCGTGAAGATTTTCCGTAAAACCTCAGCAGCCAATACTCAAAAGTTTACAAGGAAATCTGAAAAAAAAATATCTTCTTTTTTAGTCCTAAATTACTCTTTAAAATTATATGGGTCTTATCACATACTTTAACTTTATAAAACTTTTCTATGAAAAACTTGTAAAAATAGTAATATGCTTTTCTGTTTTTTTTTAACACACATTGTAGTGGAAAACCAAAAAGAACAAAATTGTGGAACACCTATTATTCCTATGTGAAATAATTCAAAATTCGGAAAATATCTCGACACCACTAATTCACATCAAATCAACCGAATCTGAAAATCTGTATTACATCGAACCCCATAAAAACAGTGTTCGAAAATATCTGAACTCTATGTTTTATCCAAACCAAATTTGAAATCAAACGAATATCTAGAAACTCCAAGAATTCAAAATCTCAACAACAAAAATTTGTATTAAAATCCGATTTCAGTCCACTAAAATATTAGTAAGTACCTAAGTAATAGCATATTACATAAAATTAACTTGAATATTTTATTTAATATATATTTTTGGTATTTGGTCAATATTGATGTTTTATGTTTGGTTCATGAATGAACCTGAATTGAAATTTGATTGTGATATGTTGCCTGACCTCAATTATTATCACGATTTATGGAAAAAAAGTTCATAAGATCCTATTGGATAGTTGGACTTAGAGTCAATATTTTATTTTCATTTTAACAATTATGAAACGGTCGTATTAGTGGGACCCTCTTACATATATTCTCTTTTTGTAGTCTTGTATAGTTCGCAGTCAAGATATTTCACCTGGCGGTTAATCTTTAAAATATCTTTTTCGATACTTAAATATTTTGTCTTTACGTTAATAAATAAAATTATTTAATTTTAAATAATAAAATACATTTTATTGTAACAATGGTATTTGCGTCATCTGATGGAGGCTCTCTTGCTCTTTCCTCGTGAGCCGTCTCCAGGCTTACCAACTCACCAACATGAGAGAGACCGTCGCCAGCAACCGTCAGGATTGTCGAGAGGCAGATCAACGGCTCTCATCTAGCCATGCCAGTGAATTTTAAAGTACCCGGGCCCTACTGTATTAAAGGAATCAAAGTAACGGGAAATATAAAGTATGCAAAGAAGCATGCAAATTGACGTTTTAATTGTTCCATTGAGTTGACCCAAAAAAAAAGAAATTTGTTCCATTGAGTGTTTTTCCCCACTCGACTTTGGCATATTCGTCTTAAATAAACCGCACTAATACAAGTCCATATTTAAAGAACTGGTGTAACGTGGAAAAGCTTTCTCATGCATATTTGGAATATTTTGATGTAGTGAAAAATATCTCAAAAACTCTATTATATTTGTAGTGGAAATTAGTAATTATATTTAAATTTCTAAAGGAATCATTTGAAAAAGACAAGAAGGATTAAATATAATGAATTTATAACCACATAATCGAAAATATGAGACATAAATAACGAAATATGATTAAGAGAGTAAGTTTAATGAAATTGATATAATGAATTAGGTGGAACATATGATTACAAGAGCGAGTTTACATCTCTGTTTCCTACCAATACAATGCTGTTGTATATATGTTTTATTGATGTGTGTTGTCCTATCTCAAATCATTTAGGTGGAGAAGGTGAAATGTAAGACACCAATGAAATGGAACTTTGGACTTATAATGTTTAGTAAATGAAATTATTATAAAAATCTGTGAGTATAATTTCGTAGACAAGTTAGGCGAGGCTGCTCATGGACATCTGGACATCATCGCCAAAAGTTAGGCTTCAATTTAATTGGTAGGATGCAATATAATCATTTCTCTTAGTTAAATAGAGTATAATTTAATATTGAATACAGTTTTCATGTATGTATATGGTATAATTTAATTGGTAGGATGCAATATAATCATTTCCCTTTATTTAATATTGAATACAGTTTTCATGTATGTATATAAATGGGATTAATTCTCATATCATGTGAAACGATTAATATAAAGAACAAAACCAATTATAGTATTATATATACATTACTATTCTTAATCATTGAGATCACTGA